CCGTGGGCGCGCGCGGCGTCGAGGGCCGCGTGCGCGCGCGCGTGGCCGTGGCCGCGGGGCCCGGCGCGCCGGCGCCGGCGCCGGCGCCGGGCGCCGCAGAGAGGCGGCGCGAGGAGCGGCGCGAGATGAAGAGGAGGAGGAATCGGATCAGCGCGGCGAGGAGCAATGAGAAGAGGAAGCGGCTGAACGAAATGCGCAAGGCAGGGCTCAAGGAGATGAATGGGCGGATCGAGAGGCTGGAGGGGCGGCGACGCGCATTGCTGGAGGAGAACGACGCGCTGAGGAAGCTCGCGGCGGGCGCCGGCACGGGCACGTCATCCGCTGATCCGCGGGGACACGTGTAACAACAGACCGTTTGGCGAATCCGCTGTAAGACGTGCGCCGTGGGGAGTGTCTGTAAGGCTTTTGGCAGATTGATAGGCGCATCGCAGCCAACCGCCGCGCGCCATCTGGACCACATGTCCCGGCTGCAATCACCGACGTGCGATGTAGCGAATTGGATGTACTGTAGCTGTAGCTACGGTACAAGGATAATTTACGGGATACTAAACTAACCGACCACGCACCTTCCCACCGCCGATTCATCCAACCGCAACCCCGCTTCCTCTTCACCTCCCCCCCTCCCCCTCTCCCCCCTCTCCCCCCTTCCCCCCCCCCCCTGCCGCCAACCATGTCCCCCGCCGGCCGTTACCCCATCCCCTTCACGCCGCCGCTCTCGGAGGCCGACCACCTGCTACTGGAGGACGCCACCTCCAAGTTGCGCTCCACCTTGCGCCTCCCGACCTCCAACCCGCTCGTCGCGCGCTGGCTCTTCTCCAACCACACCTCGGCCTTCCACGCGGACGCGGCGCGCCTGCCGCCGTCGGTCTTCTCAGACTCGCTGGTGCTGCGCATCTCGACCGACGTCTCCTTCACGCCGTCGGGCGCGTCCCCGTTCGCGTCCCCGTTCGCCCCGCTCGCCAAGCCGGCCACCCGCTCGGCCCACCTGCACCTGCTGCTGGTGCCGGCGGCCCACGCGGACGGCCTGGTCCTGGGCTACTCGGCTGCGCTTGGCGACCCCCTCGACCGCGAGCTGTACCCGTTCGAGAGCCCGCCAGGCTTCCTGCCCAAGGGCCTCATGCGCGGCCGCTTCGCCTTCTGCCCGGCCCAGAAGCACATGGTCTGCGTCGTCAACGACCTGTCGCCGGACGTCATGGGCATCATTGGCCTGGACTGGTTCGAGCACAACCGCCGCAACCGCTACTTCTTCACCGTCCCCAACCGCCAGTACGATTTCCACACCCTCCCCACCCGCGTCCTCGCCCTCCTGCAGAATATCGAGTTCAAGGTCGCAGGCGCGGAGGAGGAGTGGTTCGCGAGGCATCACCGCCCGCGGGAAGGGAGCCCGCAGCAGCCCCACGCCCGCCCCGCCCCAGAGGTCTCCCCGTTGGCTAGCTTGGTCGCGGACCTTGCGGAGGAACACACCCTCGCGCTGGACGACGACGCGCCGGAGGGCGAACCGGAGCTCCCGGATCTGTCCATATGGAACGATGACTTTCTCGGCGCGCTCGACCCCCTGCCGCCGGATGACGGGCCGCCATCGCCAACGAAGCGCGATGCGGAACAGCAGCGGCCTTCGCCGGGGCCCATGCCGCCGCAGTCGCCGCTGTCCACGCGCTTTGCGGAGCACATGGAGATCGCGTTCGGGCAGACAGGCGCGGGCGGCACGCTCGTGTCGACGTCGACGTCCGCGGCCGTGGCACCCACTGGGCGGGGCGTGGACGGCGACGCGGGCTTCGACCTCACCACCATGTTCCACAGCCTGCTCGACCTGGAGCGGTCGCTGGAGGGCAAGTACTTTGCGCCGCGCATGAGCAGGGACATCATGAACCCGCACACGGGCGAGATCGTCGCGCGCACCACGGGCGAGATGCGCGCCAGCCTGCAGCTCGCTAAGACGAAAGACGCGCGCATGCTCCGCGAGCTCACCGCGCAGACGTACTACGCGATCACGCTGCCCGTCACCAACGACGCGCGCCTTGCCTTTCCGAGACGCCCAGAGTTCACGTGGCAGCAGACGGGGCAACAGCTGCCGGAGGGGGGGTTCCGCGGTATCGCGAAGCCAGACTGCAGGCCCGGGGAGTCGTGCTTAGTCAGGAAGAGGCCGAGGAATGAGTCTGCCGGGGACGCGTCAGTGGGGAATGCGATGGAGGTCTGTGTAAAGTGTATAGGACAGATGTCGGAAGTGGGCGCTTCTGTAGTTGACCAGGACGCAATACGAGAAGCGAAGATGGAGGCGAAGAGGAGGAAAAATCGGTTGTCGGCGGCGCGGAGCAATCATCGGAAGAAGGAACGGCTGGAGGCACAGAAGAAGGAGCTTTTGGACTTGAAGGAGCGCATGGCCTTGCTGCAAGGGCGCAAGGAAATGCTCGTTGACGCTAATTCGGTGTTGCGACAGCAGGTCGGGACTCAGGAATAGATAGACGGAGGTGTTCTTAAGGCGGGCATGGGGAATGTTGCACGCGTCCGCGAGGCTGCGGCATAGGGTTTGGGGTTGTACAGTGCGCGAAACTGCAATAAATACACCATCGACGAGAAACATTCTAGCACTTCTGGTGGGGTCTGCTCGAAGTTGCCACTGTCGGGAGACCGACCGAAAAGGGGGCGGTCCGGAGGGGATTTTAGTAAAGGGTAAAAGGGTGGTAAATAGGGTTACCTTAAAGGGAGGGGGAAGAGCGGCAGGCTATTGCCTCGGAACCGCTACAGTTGGTGAGCACGGTCAGGGGACGGGGTTGTCGGGTTGATGGTTCAGATGATCGAATGTGCTGAGGTCGAAGACGAGTAGCGTCTTCGACCTGGCTTTATAGTCCTATTGACTCTACAACAAAAGTAGGCGCACTACCATAAAAGGGAGGTTGCGCCACCCACGAAATATGTCTAAACGGTTACACCCTAAAACATGTAGAATTGTACGTGGCACGTCCTTAAGGGACTCCATAATTGATAGCTAAATGTAGCCTACATAATCCCTGAATTGATATTGATAACATAGAAGTGTGATATCTACTGTAGTCTAGTCAATAAGTCTAACACTCCCCAAACTTTTTCGTGACATATGTCATGTGTTCACGAATTGCGATTGATCCACTGTTCGATAGGATGTGTAAGAATTGACCGTTGTATCATGTCGATCAGTATATCACTTTTGTTCACCTTGGTCAAAGAATCTGCGGGGTTGTGTTCGGAGCGAGTGAAGCCTATTGCGTGCAGTTCGTGTCTCTGGTATGCATCCTTGACAACTTTAACATCGATCATTAGTCGCCTTTCGGATGTTATCTTTGTTTTAGTGATAACATCAAACAGGGATAGACTATCCGTAAGCATAACGATCGGAATGTCGAGCGATGTCATGGTGTGAAGATCGTTTTTCATTGCAAAGGCCATATCGAAAGCGTCAGCAAAGGCCATTGTTTCGCTTCCTAGGACAGATCTGGAAACGCGTTTGGATTTGTGCGACGACCAGAACAATGGTTGGCAATAATCATTTGCATCAGCAAGGAAAATGATATATCCTAACTGAGAAGATCCGTCAAGGTTGTTTCCGTATGATGCATCGGAATACACTTGTAACCGAAGACTTTTGTGGTCCAATTTAGGGAAGTTGAGGACCTGATCTGTACTGGTAAGGAGATGTTTTACCACAGAATTAAGTCCCTTACAGTACTTCGTGGGGTCCGAGTTGAAGATTTCTTCAGTAACCTGAGCTGCTTGTGCAATAGAGCATGTAATATCCGGACGAGACTGAGTGGCCCAAGAGAGTTGGGCACGAAGTGAGCGAAAGTCTTTGAAAGAAGCTTCCTTACTGATGTTCTTAATCTTGGAGATATAGTGCTTCTGATGTACTTAGAATCCGTTAGGTGTGGATTCAATCTTAATGCCTGCAAATTGGACCTTGTCGTAGTCCCTCGGTCGACATTTGAATTTCCTTTCGACACACTTGGCCTGTTGACAAAACCCTTCAGTGCCGGCTTGTAGACAGTCATCAACATAAGTAGCACATAGCCCAGTAAGCTTCTCTCTAATTCGTTTGAAGAAGAAGGCGGCATCGGTTACACTGGCCTTCATCCCAAGTTCCTTCTCTAGATGATGCTTTAACGTTCTACCCCAGTAGTCACCACTATCGGCTAGTCCATACAACGGCTTGAGTAGTTTCAAGAGTTGATTAGAATCCAAGTCGAACTCAGATGAGGGTTTAACATAGACATCACGGGAGAGCTCTTCCGTACTCTGCAAATATGCCTGTGTGACATCTGTTGAGAAGAGTCTAAAGTCAAAAAGAGCAGCAAGACCGACAAGTAGTTTGACGCTGAACTGTCGTGCCGTTGAGGTGTCGTGAACGAATGACCGTTTCATCTTGTCCTTGTGGCCTTGTACAACGTATCGGGCTTTCCATACTTCCTTGTTTGTTCCAGAGTCTTTTATGGCGAGGGCAAATCGTCCATTTAAGATGTTTGCGTTGTCTGGAACTTCATCGCGAAGCACTACCTTCCAAGTACCTCTTTCGATCAGTCCTTCTATTTCCTCTCGTTTAGCATTATCAAATTGTTGTGCACGAGGATCATTGGGATGTATAACTTCAGTAAGAAGGACGTTATTGGGTAGATTTGAGGCTTTGCCACTACGGAATGGAGCAGTTTGCTGGTGGAGAATAGATTCGGGGGAAGCGTAGTATGGCTTGATTTGATAAGCGTTGAACGTTTGTCGATAAGTTCCTTCGCTGTTCTGAACAGTTATCATTCGTCCGTGAACATTGCAAACAAGGAATGGACCAATCCATTGCTTCTCTTGCTCAGATAAGACTAGAATCTCGTCTCCAAGATTATACACACGATCGGAGGCTGGAGGGATGTTCCGATTCAGAGCAGCAAGTACACGTCGTTCTGCGATGATTGCGTTCATTTCCATCTGCGCTGTTGAAAGAATTTGCATTCTTTCACGCTGCGAAGGTATTTCCGTACTTATGATTGGGAAGCGCGGAACAATTCCGAAGACTAATAGAAAAGGGACTAGACCGTTCTCTCCGATTGTGTCGTTCATTGCCTTGACTGCAATTTTCAGAAGAATGAGCGGAGAGGCGTCCGGGAAGTCCGCTCGTACTTTTCTATAAATCCTTCGCAGTGGTCCGTGAAGACGTTCTCCAATACCTAACGACGAGTGGGCTTTTACACCAGATATGCGAAGTTGAATTCCAGCTTGTGCAGTTATCTCGCGCCATCGATCAGATGTGAATGCGGATCCTTGGTCAACGCGAAGTCTATTTGGAAGGCCAGTATACAAGGTACACCACGCTTCGACGAAGGCTAGCCAAATACCTTCAACGCCTTGGCCATAAGTGGCGCCATGAGCATCTAGAAAGATGGCTGACGAGAATCTAGTGGCTGTGTCGATGACGTGAAGTACTGCTTTTCCATCTAGAAACATCAGGTCAATGGACAATTCGTCACCGAACTTTAAGTCCTGTTCATTGGGTAGCGATACTTTAAAACGCACAGGAGTGGGGCCAAGGCGTTGACAGGTGTCACAAGAAGCTTGCAGAGACTCGAGAAGCTGCTTTGTGGCCTCATCAGCTTCAAAAGGGCGGGCCAAGCGAAGCAGATTCATGAGTTTCTCTGATGTGGGATGGGAAAACCCGCGATGAAGCTTGATCAGTTCGGCTTTGGTGAAGTGCGTTTTGGAGGAGTGATCCCACTCCAGATAGATGTGACCCAGCTTGCGCCGAAGCGGTATGTCAAGACCAAGCTTAGGCGATCGGAGCATGTTGTTGACGCTATCAATGAACATTTGGTACTTGTCCAAGAGGTCAAGTCCAATAAGAAAGGGGACATTGGCCTTGACAATTTCAACGTGTTCGCGAATTAAGTAACCATCAGCAATGGGAATGGATATGTTCATGGTTCCAAGTGAAGCTTGGGAGTCATTACCGAACCTGAAGTGTATCGGGCTCGGCCTGGGCTTGAATTTGGTGCCAGTGAATCGACAGTAGGCTTTGGCTTGAGCGATGCCAACGACAGTTCGCTGGGCACCAGTGTCAAGACAAGCTCCATCCCACTTGGGTGCGTGGTTGGTCGTCCTAGCTCGTGCGGGACTATGGTCCCGGATGGTGTTGTAGATTTTGAATTTACACCGCTTCTTTCCGCAGACAGTCTCAAAGGAACTTGTTTTACTTTGTGGGTGTTGACTGCTGCTACTTAAAAATGCATTGGATCCAGGCTATCTACAGTGTCCCACAGTACTTCTTCCTCTTTGATTGGCGTGTGAGCGACTTGATGATGAGTAACAGCCTGATCGGCGAAGTCATCATCATCGTTGAGGGTGCCATTGGTGAGAATGACTTCACCGGGGTCATGTTGTGCCTGGTCGTCCGTGAAGGCAGTGAAGTCGATCTCATACGCACCTAAGGCATGTTCTGCTTGCTCGCAGTGCTCGTATAGGATTCGCTTGGCTGGTCTGGTCTGTAACATATGGCTGACATTCTTTCTGAGAGCCATAGGTTTAGGACAGTCCCTAATGAGGTGATATTTGCTTCCACAATTGTGGCAAGCACGTATATTACCGAAGCGATCCGTACCATTCTGGGTCTGGGCGGGGTTGTGGGAGAAACGTTGGGGAGGATATGGAGTTCTTGGATTTGAAGAAGCGGAACCAGGGCGGCGGGGGATGCCATACGTGTTCTGACGTTGAAAGTGAATACCAGGGATGGAAGGCAAGGGCTGGGTACGGGAAATGTCAAGCTGATCACGGCGGCGTCCTTCTTTCTGCTTCTGCTCTTGTAGCCAAGCGGCATCAAGGGCAGTATAGAGCTGTTGAAATGTCCAGGGGGGTATGGCAGCCAAACTTTGTGTTAATACACTCTTAGTCCACTCGACTCCAATCACAGCATCGTGCAGATACTCTGTTTTGTCTTGTTCCGATTGGTGCGTGGGAGGACCTTGTGGGGTGTACTTTGTGCTTGTTTCACGAAGTTCTTCCAATGCTTCTGACACAGGGATTCTTTTCGTCTCCAAAATTCGGGAAAGTCGGAGATTTTGGAGGAGTTTACGAACTCTATTTTGTCGTGTCAGGCTATTGAACTCGTTAACCATGAGTAAAGTAGCAGAATTGAAGTCTTGGGCATGTTGGATGACGTGAGAGCGATAATATCTTTTCGCTTCACCATCAAAAACGTTATGGAAGAATCGGAGCATTTGCTCGGCACTTAAGTGGAAATCTTCAGCAGAATCGCGATAGTTGTTGATTGCGTCATGATTATCTTCTCCGATTTTTCCAGTGTACCGGTCCTCCTTTTTGAATCTTGATGAAATATTGTGAGCAATCTTGGAGTTCGGGGCTTCAACTGTCGGCAGAAACGATTGAGTGCTTCCTTGTGTCGACCCGGAGGCGGAACTGGTGAGACCTTGATTGGCGAGGATACGGTCAGTGTCATCGACATATAGCATGTTTACCAGACCGTGAGAAATACGGTTGGTAGTAGGGTGCGGGATGTATGACAATCCTTTGACCACAAGGTAATCACGGATAAGTCGATATAACACAGTAGGGCCTCGTAACATTTCCCTTGCGTATCGAACTTCGGGGGGAAGGTCAGCACGAAGGTTACTACAACAAACATTGGGGTCAGGTTGGGGGTCCGCCATTACATGCAGGGCTATTGTAGCCTTAACA